CAGGCAGACAGGCCTCCTTGTTAGTGAAGTTTCATATCCATTATGTTTTCCTTTTTGTCTTGGCTGCTGGGAAACCCAGACAGATGTCAGGTATAGGCAGCCTCCCCCCCCCCTTTTTTTTAAGATTTTATTTATTTACTCATGAGAGACACAGAGAGAAAGGCAGAGACACAGGCAGAGGCAGAGGAAGAAGCAGGCTTCATGCAGGGAGCCCGATATGGGACTCGATCCTGGGTCTCTAGGATCACACCCTGGGCTGAAGGCAGACGCTTAACTGCTGAGCCACCTGGGCATCCCAGGCAGCCTCTTCCATATAGTTTGGTGGTGGACACATACAGGGTAGCTGCTTAGCTTGTAAAGATTGGAGCCACGTCTGTGTCTTCCTTCTTCTAATACCAGATCTCTTTTCCTTGGTCATGGACAGAAGACTAGTATGCCTGCTGGGTTGGTCATATAAGATTCTAGCCACTATCCGTATCAGTCCTCTCTGAGATTTGTCAAATTTGAGCTGATCCTCTCAGGCCTTGAGACTGAAGGTTGAGTGCAGGGCTTCCTCAGCTATGGCTGCAGCCTCATGGGGGTGGCTGGTCTGTGCATGTGAAGTCAGGAGGCAGATCAAGGCAGGGGTGTGTGTGTATATGCGTGTGTTTCTGTGCATGTGTTGGGGCAGGAGGGGAGAGTGGGAGAGAACAATGAGTCAATGAATCGCCTCTTTTTGAAACGAATTCAAGTTACTTCTATTGCTTGCAATCAAAACATGTTTATCAGTATACCTTATTACCTAATTTTGATTTGTCTTTGGTCCATGCTGGATATTTTCAGTTTTATTATACATGTGTGTTTTGTCATAAGCTGATCCAGCTCTCTGTTTTGGAAACGAGTGACATAGAAATAGTGTGTGTACGTGTGTGTGTGCACGCGTGTGGGCACTCAGATGTCACCCCCATTGCATCAATAGCCAGGGCTGGGAGGAGAAGAACCAGGCCTTGGGTGATGCTGAGTGGCTAATGGGGCTTCCCTGACCTTGAGACCTCATTGGAACACCTGAGCGGCTCCTTCCTTGTCCCCTTCACTCCCAGTCCCTCTTCAGAATGTGGGCCTCACAGCAGCTCCCATGCCTTCTCCCCTCACACCCAAACCATCCTGCTGACTCTTCCCCAACAGGGCTTCTGGGCCTGCCCATTCCCATCCACTCCACCCTAGCTGGGCCCTCACAGACTCAGCAGCTCATCATCTGTGTCTGCTGGCCTCAGCAGCTCTCCTGAGGCCTCCCTCCTCCTGCCACTCCACTGTCCAGCACTATCCTAGACCCCTCTTTGTTCTTTGACTCTTGTTGCCTAAGTTTTGACACTGTTCTCCATTTGAGCTTACCTCCTACCCCCATTGGTCAAGCTCTAGGGCTTACTTTAAGAGAACTTTTTGCCAAACATGTTCTCTGTGCCAAGTACCATGTTGGCCACTTGCCATGAATAATCTGGTCCTCTCAATAGTCCTGTGACATGGGAACTGCTATGTCCATTTGATAGGAAATAGGCTGGGGGAGCTGCAGTGACTTGTCCAAGGTCACATGGCTGGTCAATGGGGGAGCTCAGCCTGGAACCCTGATCTGACTGATTTGCGAGGCCCTGGGCCTTCCCCAGTCCCATGTGATGGCTCAGTCTGGGGGAGGGCAGGATGGCACTGAGAATGCCACCTGACTTCTGTCTGCTGGAGGTCCGTTTCTTTCTACTTGAGAGGCTGGAACTGCAAGGGGACCACTTTCTTTTCCCTTCCCTGCCCATATTTCAGGACTCCTGACGCAGCCATTCCAGCTCAGGTGCTGACTTTCCTCTCGACTCACCGCTGGCACTGGAGTTCCCACAGCCACGCCCCTGCCTGGGAATGCCCTCTCCCCACTCCACCCATGCAGGGCTCTTCTTTCTTTCAAAACCTGAGTCAAACGCACCCTTTCCAAGAAGTCTTCTATGTACTACCCACCCCACCTGGTGGCTCCTCAGCTCTGGGCTCCCCTCAGACAGTAGAGAAAGTTCTACACCCATTTACCCTCCCCCATCAGATTGGACATCCCCAAGGACAAGGGCTGTGTCTCCCCCATCAGGCTGGAGCAATTCCAGTAAATTGACTTGCCAAGCACCTACTATGTGAGAGATACTTTGTGACCCTCTCAGGCAGTAAGGTAAGCTCTCCTGAGAGGTGGGACACATCACAGAGGCTGTAGGAAGGTTGAGAAGGGGAAAGCCAGGTGATCCAAAGTGATGGGGTAGGGCTTCCTGGCAGAGGAGAGGTCTGAGCCATCCCCGTCCCTTACTTGGATAATGGCAAGGCAACATCTTCCTGGCTTTCCCTTTTCCCAAAGTATGTTCCACATGGAGGCCAGAGGGCCTTTGTGAAACACACCTAACAATGTCACTCCCTGTGTAGAAGCTTTGTCCCCCTAGTGTTGTTACGATAAGGTCTGTGATCCTCAACTCCACGTGTATCCCCAGTCTCTGTTCTCAGTTTTGTCAGGCAGTTCAGCTGTGTACAGCAGCAACTCTTAGATACTGCACTTTCCTCAGTTGCATGCCACTGAGTCTTTGCTCAGGTGAACAAATGGAATGTCCTCCCTCACTTCCTTTCTTGCTCAGTATCTATTCATTGTCAAGGTTCAGCTAAGTTGAGAACTCCCGTAGGATGCTTGCCCACCCTGGGATGGGTGAGATGACTGCCTTTCCTGTTTTCCATCCATCCTTTGCACACTTTTCCACCCACCATCTATCCACCTTCCATTCTTCTATTTCCATCCATTATCCTTCCTTTCAACCATCCATCCATCCATCTGCCCAACTACCGGCCCATCCATCCATCCATCCGTCCATCCACCCATCCACTTATCCATCCATCCATCCCATGCATCCTTTCACATTACCTTACTATCTTCCTATTCACCCTCTTCCTCCTTCCCTCCCACTCCTCTCCTTCCCTTTTGTTCATCTTTCATCTACTTTCTGCCACACATATTTTAAATCTGTGTGTTGAACTAAAGCTTGGCCTTAAATAACATGAAGAATTTAGGCAGGAAGAGAGGAGAGAAGTGGAAATTCAGGCAGAGGCTGGAGAATGGGTGGGGACATAGGGATTGATGAGGGGACTGGAATGTTGGGGGTGAAGCTCAGTTTTCAGTGGGCATTATGGGTAATTGGCTAGAAAAGGTAAGTCTTACTTTGCCTAAATAGATAGCAAATAGATGGCTAGTGAACCTGTCTGTTGCTGGGCTTTGGCTACCTAATTTCATGTTCTTAACAACCTAAATTGTGATTCTGGGGTATAGGCACAGCTCTTTTCACCCTACATATTCTCAACCTGCCTACCTCAGATTTCTGGGAGGCACTTGCAAATCAATCCCTGCTGTGGGACTTTGGACATGACCCTTTCCCTCTTGGGGCTTCAGTGTTCCTATCTGTAAAGTTAGGAGTCTGGTTTAAATGATCCCCGAGACCCTTTTTGGCTCTGAGTTTCAGGGATCTTTTATCAGAAGGGGACATGTCATTGAAAAGTGAGGCTCAGAGCCAGGCAGAGCTGGGACTGAATCCTGGCTGAATGGCTTTCTCTCTGTGGGCCTTGGGAATTACCTCAACCTCTGAGCCTCCTGCATCTATAGTGTGGAACAGTCAATTTCTGTCCTGTTGTCTTTAGCAGCTGGCAGGTACAGACAAGGCCATGGACACTGAAACACTTGGCTTGGCCCATCTGTTGTGTCAGTGCGGCTCTCACAAGGACAAGGCCCAGATGGGCAGGCTGGCCTGGGAAACAAGTGGGTGGCAGACCTTTCTAGGGGAATGGGGACTCAGGGCCTCGGGGAGGTGCCCCAGGCTCCCAATAGCCTCCTGTGTCTGCAATCCTACCTGTCAGCCTGCTCACTGTCCCCATGCTAGCTCAGCCTTTCTGGAGGCAGAAATTGAGCTCCAGGTCAGCTCAGGCTCCAGTATGTCATTCCTAGAAGTGACAGCCCTCAGCTCTAGGAGACATTACCCTTGCTATAGGCAGAAAGATGGCTGGGACATGGTGGGGAAAGGGATGGGCCAAGTGAAAGGGGTGGACAAGGAAGGGTGTGGAGGGACAGGGAAGGAAGGGCAAGGGATACAGAACTCTGTTAAGAGGAGAGAAGAAGCCTAGCCCATGGCAGAGGTCTGAAAATCACTAAGAGGGCTCTAACTAGGCAATTCTATGACTTTCTCTGGACCTCAGACTTCCTACCAGTGATATGAGGAAGACTCTGACTGTTGCCTTCTTTCCTCCAGGTTGGTGGGGGTCTAAGAAAAGACTCTGGACATCAATGATTACAGAAATAGTTGGTATGTCTTTTTTTTTAAAGATTTTATTTATTTATTCATGAGAGACACAGAGAGGGAGGCAGAGATGTGGACAGAGGGAGAAGTAGGCTCCATGCAGAGTGTGATGTGGGACTCGATCCTAGGACCCCTGGATCATGATCTGAGTCAAAGGCAGACGCTCAACCACTGAGCCACTCAGGCACCCCAGTTGGTATGTCTTTAAGGACAGTGGCCTGGGAGCGTCTTAGGGTACAGAGAAGATTTGAGGAGGCCCAGTCTGGGTTTAAGGCTGGAAGAGAGGAAATAAGAGTTTTTTCTTGGGCCTGGACTCCCTTCCCCAAAGTGTTTCCTAAAAACCATAGTCCTTCGAGGAGTCCAAGGCAAATGACACTCTCAAGCTCACTGGGTATCAAGTGCTCTTTGCCACTGCTAATGGATGCAGAATTAGTGCCAAAAAAAAAGTTGAAGAGAAACAGTATGGTTGCACAGTCTCAAACTATCCTTTTCAAGGTATTTATTAATTTCAATGGGAAAAATAGTAATGCTACAATGGAGAAATCCACAAACAGTACCTTGGCCAACGGACAGCAATATTCCATATACGTCTACTATACCTGAGATGATGCACTGGACAAGGACACATCATTTCTGTGGTTTTCTTGCCACAATCTGATGATGAGAAAAATATGAGGAAAACCCAAACTGAGGGATATCCTTTTGACTAAGCCTCTTCCAAACTGTCAAGGTCATGAAAGAAAAGGATGGACTAAGGAGCTGTCACAGGCAGGGAGAGACCAAGCTGACCTGACAACCAATGAAATATGGTATCCCACAACAGAAAGGGACATTAAGGTCAATGTTAATTTATTTGTTTTGATAATTGAACAATGGTTATGCACCATGACCATAATGGGGAAGCTGGGTGAAAGTTGCACATGAATTCTCTGTACTATTTTTGCAACTTTTTCTATGATTTCAGAAGAAAAATTTAAAAACAAAAATAAAAAAGGGCTCTCTCCCAGAGCAATTTTTTATGTATAAAGGGCCCGGAGAAATTGGGTGGTGGGAAGTGTGGCCCGGACTCCTGAGAATTCTGTCTCTCTGCTGCCCCATCCCCTAGTACCTTTCTTTGTGGAGCTACCAGCTGCCCCCAGAAGCCTTCCAGACTGGCCCTGCCCACATCTTGTTACAGTCATGCCTCCACCAACTGTTCACCACCTCTCCCCTTGCATTGTGGATAGCTCCTGGTCTGTCACATGTGTTGTGGGTTGAACAGTATCCCCTGCAAAGTCACGTCCACTGGAACCTTGAAATTTGTGACTTATTTAGAAATAGGGTCTCTGCAGATGTCATTCATTATGGTGAGAATTGAGATCACACTGGGTTAGGGTGAGCGCTGAACCCAAGGAGTGTCCTTAAAAGAGGCAGAAAAGGACACACAGAGAGAAAGATTGAGACATAAAGGGCCATGTGAAGATGGGGAGGCAGAGATTAGAGTTTTGTTGCCACAGACCAAGGAATGCAGGGAGCCACCAGAAGCTGGAAGAGGTAAGTAAGGGCTGTCCCCTGGAGCCTTCAGAGGGAGTGTGGCCCTGACGACACCTTGATTTTGGGCTTCTGACCTCCAGAGCAGTGAGAGAATATACTTCTATTGTTTTAACCCACAACATTTGTGGTGATTTGTTACGGCAGTCCCAGGAAACTAATACATATGGATTGCACTTTTTGTTGTTGTTGTTGTTTTTTAAATATTTTATTTATTTATTCATGAAAGACAGAGGGGGAGAGAGAGAGAGAGAGAGAGAGAGAGAGAGAGAGAGAGAGAGAGAGAGATCGGAGAGAGAGAGAGGGAGAGGCAGAGACACAGGCAGAGGGAGAAACAGGCTCCCTGCAGGGAGCCCGACGTGGGACTCCATCTGGGTCTCCAGGATCATGTCCTGGACTGAAGGTGGCGCTAACCTGCTGAGCCAGCCGGGCTGCCAGGATTGCACTTTTCTTCTGTTTGTCCGCATCTTAAGTAATTTTGATGTGTGTCCTCTTTCTCCTTGCAGGTTGCCGGCTTCCTAAGGGCAGAGACTGTCTCTTTTATTATACTGGGCTCTGGGGACAGGGGCAGGGCCTCTTTCCTTGGACTGGGATGCCACAAGGTCCACTCCTTCTTTAGGAACCCATCTCCTGGTGCCCAGCCCATCCTCAGCACACAATGCAGGCTCTGTGGGGGGCTGCCTGGCTCTGCTGCCTCACCTGTTTGCATTGGCATTGGTCACCTCCTGCAGGCTGGCAGGGAGACTTACCAACCACAAGAGACACCGCCCTAGGCTCCTCTTTTGCCCTCTCCTTCTTGGGGCAGCTGGAGTGAAGGTTAGGTACTGGGGGCCACACAAAGCCTGTCTAGGAGTCCAGGGCCCAGCAGACAAGCATCAGCCCATTAATCCCTGCTGCCCTCGAAAGCTACTTCTTCTTACAATGTTGTGAGCACCAGACTAGACCATTTGTGCCTGGTTCTATATCTGCAAGGATTAGTCTCAGGATCTGGACCACCAGAGTTCTAATCCTGAGTGCTGGTAGGAGGGGGTTGGGGGGGATCAGACTTATATCCCATGTTGGGGTTCCAGGGTCTGTAGGGGTGAGAAAAAGTACCCAGGCAAAGTTCTCTTCTTAGATTGTGTGCATGAGTTCATATGTCATTGGTTTCCTACCCTCTTTACTTTTAGTTTTCCCTTGGAGGCTGGCAAGGAAGAAGCTTCTTTTGGGTTCCACTGAATCAGGGTAGAGGGTAGAAGAGGAGAGCTTTTCCTGTGTCCTGTGCTCTAGGGATTTTATCCATGGTTTCCTGCAATGGAGGGAGATAGGGGGGTGGGCAGCACAGAGAAACCTGGTGTTGGGCTCTGCCCCCTCTCCTGCTCCCCAGGTCCCTGATGCTGCATTTTTCTCTGGTAAGTGCCCCCTCTGCCCCACCCAACAGTAATATGCCTCCTAACACATGCATCTGTGCCTCAGCCAAAATCCCTGCTACCTCTCACTGGGGAAGTTGTAGGGCTGGGCCGGGGTGGGGGAGCATCCTCTGGAAGGAGATTAGAGTGTCTGTCAGGGGCGGGTGGGGCAAGGTGGGGCCCTTACTTACTCACATCCTTGAGAGTCCTTGGGCGGCAGATTTGGGGAGCCCACAGCCTCCAGTGTCTGTCTCAGCGTTGTCTCCCAAGCTCCTAAGCCCTGGTGAGGGGGTGCTTTCTGGTGTCTGCTTTGATGGCAGTCGGGGTTGGGGGGAGAAGGAGGTTTTGCTTCCTTTGTGGAAGCAGTTGATCCTAGGAAGAGCGTTGGAGCCTCCAGCGGGGGCTGTCAGGGCCTGTCTGGGGAGATGGGACGCGTCAGACAGCCCCAGACACGACTGCATTCCTCCCAACATGCCTGCTGGGGTCCGTAGAGCTAAGGGGCTGGCTGGCGGGTGGGCGGGGTGTGGCTGGAGGGGGTGTGGCTTTGGAGGTTGTCTGGGAGACGTGGGGCAGCTGAGGGCCCCCATATACAAATATCCAAGGCAGAGCCAAGTGGACCCCTGGAAAAGTCCCCTGAACCTCAATGTTTCAGGAGTCAGGATCCCCCCTCAAGTCCACTGCCCCGTAGTGTCTGCATCCCTCCCGAAATCCCCTGGGCCAGCTCATAAGGGTGCCTGGGCCAGCCTCTTCCACTGCAGAGAGACACCTGGGGCTAGAAGGAAAAAGGCCTTCCTGTCCTGTTCCAGGGGTGTTGCTCCACCCTCTTTGGTCCCAGACTAGCATACAATGCTAACCAGACTTTGCGCCACACTTGGCTTACAAAACCCTTTCGTGTACATTACCACTTTGCATTCTCAGAGCTGACTCTGCATTAGGCAGGGCAGATGATATTTATCCCCACTTTACAGATGAGTAAACTGAGGCAGCATAGGGTTACATAGCAGAGCCAGGATGCCATCTGACTCTGCTTTTTCAACACGTCTCTGGCTGTGCCTGTGATGCCACCTGCTCTTGGCCACCTGCTCTTGGCCACCCAATGCCACGGGCCCACCCACAGGTGTGTGGAAGATCTCGGAGGCTGTGCCCAGGGCTGGGGAAAGCTGCCTGGATTTCCCTTTAATGAGGGTGTCAGGGTGGAAGCCTGAGCCACCTGACTGGGGGGGCATGTTTCAGGGATGTGACAGGCTTCTCAGCACAGCCTAAGAGGTCAGATCTGAGAGACCCCTGAGAGCTTCTGGTCTCTTTATAGATGACCTTGCTGAGGGGCATCCCTGTGCCTCATGTAACCTTGCCACGCTGGCATTTCTGCAGCCAGGTACCACCTGGAGTGATGGGCTTCCTCTAGGTGGATGTCAAAGGCCCACCTCGTTAATGGGAAACTGACAGGTCATCAGGTTTACGGGGCAGAGGCCCTCCTTGCTGCCACCTGGCCGAGCCTAGCATGTAGGCTCCTGATGGCTGTGGCTCCCAGGGCCAGATGGGAAAGTGTAGCCTGCAGGCCCACACCTCCTATGTGAATCACGCCTGGCGGGACAAGAAACCAAAAACACCCCAAACAATGAGTTTCCAGTAAAATATGACAGACGTGATGAGGCGGGGGAGGGGAGGGATCTGACGGGGAGTTGGCACTGGCCTGTAAGTGATGAAAGCCAAGGGGAATGGAAAGTGCCAGTCCCGCCCCCTACTCAGGAGTATAAAGCACCCACATCCTATTCCAACTTACCTGAGCACCTTTCTCTCCTCTGCTCGCTCACTCACTCGCTCACCTCCTTCCCAGCACCATGACCTCCTGCAGCCGCCAGTTCACCTCCTCCAGCTCCATGAAGGGCTCCTGCGGCATCGGGGGCGGCTCCAGCCGCATGTCCTCTGTCCTGGCTGGAGGGGCCTGCCGGGCCCCCAGTGCCTACGGGGGCCTGTCGGTCTCCACCTCCCGCTACTCCTCTGGGGGGGCCTGCGGCCTGGGGGGCAGCTATGGTGGTGGCTTCAGCAGCAGCAGCAGCTTTGGTGGGGGCCTGGGTAGCGGCTTTGGTGGAGGATACGGTGGTGGCATTGGTGCTGGCTTCGGGGGTGGCCTTGGTGCTGGCTTTGGGGGTGGCCTTGGTGCTGGCTTTGGGGGTGGCTTCGGTGGTGGTGACGGGCTCCTGGTGGGCAGCGAGAAGGTGACCATGCAGAACCTCAACGACCGCCTGGCCTCCTACCTGGACAAGGTGCGCGCCCTGGAGGAGGCCAACACCGACCTGGAGGTGAAGATCCGCGACTGGTACCAGAGGCAGCGGCCCGCTGAGACCAAGGACTACAGCCCCTACTTCAAGACCATTGAGGACCTGAGGAACAAGGTGTGTGGACTGGGCAGCAGGACTTGCCATTCCAGCTACCTCGCTCCGGAGCAAGAAATGCCTCAGGCCGCTGGCATCTTTAGATTCCTAGACAGGGCAGATTCCAACCCAGATCCCTTCTGCTCCAGACACGTCCGGCAGGGCTGGTGGGTCCCGGGCCTCACTCATGCCCTTCTGGGCTCCAGACCTCAGACCATGTGAGACTAGGGATTCCTACCTTTACATTTCATGGAGGAAGAAGTCAAAGCTTTGAGAGGTGCTGTGACCTGCTCAAGGCCACACAGCAAATCAATGGCAGCGCTGAGGCTAGAGCCCTTGTGCCCACTTGCTCGTACAGGAGGCAGCTACCTGTTCCCCAGCACAGGGGAGGAGCAAGGCTGTAACGGGAGCAGACTAGACACTCAAACCACTCATTAGCTCATTAGTCTGGGCTGTGGTGGCTGCCGCCCATGAGCCCCGGCACTGGCCCCTCCCCACAGCCAGGGGGTTCGCAAAAACCCCAGAGATAATCAGTGGCGATCCACTTTACACGCCCTGTGCAGGAGGGAGACTGGGGGACTTGTGTCACATGATTCCAGCCCCACCCTCACCCCCTGCTCCAACTTACCCAGGGATCCCCCCCCGCCCCCTACACACTGATCCTGCTTTTCTTGGTGTCTGGTTCTGATGCCTCTTGTGGATTAGGTAAATTAGATGATGAAGGAGATGAACTCCAGCCAATCCAGGATTCGATCTTTGTTCTTGTTCTTCTGTCTCTTCTTCTATCATCTCCTGTGCTGGCTTGGGTCTCCTCTTTTGGGAAAGCCCCACCTGAGATCCCATGCTCTTGTGGGCTTGGAAAGGAATGGGTGAAGACTGGCAGGGCTGGCTTGTGCCTAAAGAGGAAAATTCAGACCAGGGAGGGAGTCTTGAGAAACTTAGGTCACCCCTCTACTCTGTAGGTAGGGAAACTGAGGCCCTGCAGCTCATCAGTGGTAGAACCAGGACCCACAACTCCAGGGCTTTGGGTTCCAAGGCCAGGGCTCTTTCTATCCATTTTCCTGACCCGGAGTCAGCAAAGCCCTGGGTCAAAGCTGGACTACTGAAATTTGTCCTTTAGACTGTTGTGGCAAAGGCTTTTGGGAGAAGGGGGGACTCAGGTGAGAGCAGGAAAGCAAAGGCCTGATGTATACAGGCTGCAGTAAAGTCTGGCTAGTGATGTCCATTTGTCTGATGACCTGCATCCTTTCCACTTGCAGATCCTCACGGCCACTGTGGACAATGCTAACGTCCTGCTGCAGATTGATAATGCCCGTCTGGCTGCTGACGACTTCCGTACCAAGTGAGTTTGCAGTGTTGTTTCAGGATGTCCATTCCCCCCAGGGTGGGGCATTTTTGGGTTCCCTAACAGAGCTGATAAGTTGCCAGGACGGCCACGTGAAAACCCCTTGAGGTGCTTGTAAAAATACAAGGTTCTTGGGCCCCACCCTTGGAGTTCTGATTCAGTTATTTTTAACAGGCTGCCTGAGTGATTCTGATCCACAGCCAGGTTTGGGTGCCATTGCTTTAGGGAGAGGTGTTCCCTACTTCCCCACCTGCCCTCAAAGTGCAGGAGGCAGTCACATTTGGAAGCTTGTGTGCTATTGGTTGTGAGACCAGAAGCATCTCCCCTCCCTTAATTCTACAGCATGAGGAATTGCCTTATTCCCTGGCCCCAGGAATGTTCAGATCTGAGCTATCAATGGGTGCTGTGTTCAACCATGTTATTTTCAAGACTGACTCCCTAAACCACTCACAGGGTGCTGGCTATGGGAAGAATCAGCAAGGGGCAGAGAACAAAGCCTTCAATGTGGCCAGGATGGGTGTCTCATTCTTTTTCTCTCGGGTCATTCCAGGTACGAGACAGAGCTGAACCTGCGCATGAGCGTGGAGGCCGACACAAATGGCCTGCGCCGGGTGCTGGATGAGCTGACTCTGTCCAGAGCTGACCTGGAGATGCAGATTGAGACCCTGAAGGAGGAGTTGGCTTACTTGAAGAAGAACCACGAGGAGGTGAGAGCTGGCATAGAAGATGAGCTGGGAGGAAGGGATGGAATTGAGCTGGGGGAGGGCAATGCTCAGTCTAGGAACACCTCTGACTTGGGAACCCCAACTGGCCTCCAGAGTGAGGCTCCTGACTGTGGATTATGCTTTGGTTGTGCAGGAAATGAACGCTCTGAGAGGCCAGGTGGGCGGAGATGTCAACGTGGAGATGGACGCCGCCCCTGGTGTGGACCTGAGCCGCATCCTGAACGAGATGCGCGACCAGTACGAGAAGATGGCAGAGAAGAACCGCAAGGATGCCGAAGACTGGTTCTTCAGCAAGGTGGGTATCATCCTGGGTGGAAGGGACCCAGGAGACCCACTTTCCAGGAACTTCTGCTGTGAATGTTTTTTTTTTTTTCTTTTCTTTTCTGCAGACAGAGGAGCTGAACCGCGAGGTGGCCACCAACAGCGAGCTGGTACAAAGCGGCAAGAGCGAGATTTCCGAGCTCCGGCGCACTGTGCAGAACCTGGAGATCGAGCTGCAGTCCCAGCTCAGCATGGTAGGGGAGCTGCTAGGCTTGCATTGGACTCAGGACTAGGAGGGAGGGAGTGACTACCCTCACTGATGCCTGATCTTTCCCTCCCTCACAGAAAGCATCATTGGAGAACAGCCTGGAGGAGACCAAAGGCCGCTACTGCATGCAGCTGGCCCAGATCCAGGACCTGATTGGCAACGTGGAGGAGCAGCTGGCCCAGCTGCGCTGCGAGATGGAGCAGCAGAACCAGGAATACAAGATCCTGCTGGACGTGAAGACAAGGCTGGAGCAGGAGATCGCCACCTACCGCCGCCTGCTGGAGGGCGAGGATGCCCAGTGAGTGCACTGCCCTCTAACCCAGTCCTGCCCCCTCACTATTCACCTGTTCTACCAGATATGTCTAATGATCTTGCCCTTTTCTGTCTTCATAGCCTCTCATCCTCCCAGTTCTCTTCTGGCTCTCAGTCCTCCAGAGATGGTAAGACCTTCCTCCTCCTCAAGCCTGAACTCATCATCACCTCCTGTCTCCCAGCAGGTCTAGGGAGGTGGCTTTTTGAGGGGTTGAGCTAGAGTTTTCTCATCCAGG